ATCACTGACCTCAACTTCCTAGAGGTTTCCTGTAATATTCTTCTTACCATTTCCACAATTGTGTACATTTCAACATCACTCTTCTTTCCTATTTTTGAATGTCTTCTTGAGATACTTTCACAATTCTTACAGTGAGTTATCAAGATGCATTATTTCCTGATCAAAAGCATCCCCTGTTCTTTATTTGCCCAGTTGCTTTTTGCTTACATTTTCAAGCCACACCAAGTGAGGATACCCAAGTTAAAACCTACAAAGAACTGTCAGGACCATAATACTTTTAAGAAAATCAATGGTCTTTAAAATTTGTCAAGCATTAATAATCCCAATATCAAATCCCATCCAATTACTTTAACTAAAAAAGAACTATTAACTCTTGGCCAAATGTTGAAAGTATAAAACTCATTCAAAGATCACTTAATCAGAAATTCTTTTAAGACATATTTATTAATAGCATTGCTCATTTTCTATGACATATACCATTGATGTCCCATTCATAATTCCATTCACACAATGCTAACTTTTAACTGCTTAAGCCTTTAGGCAATCCTCTGCCATTGCATATGGTGGGCTATAAAATGCCAGGGAACTCTCTACCTTGGGAGCCGTCATTATTTTTGTATACTCCAGCACATTTTCTCTTAGAAAGGACAACTTTCATTCTTGTAATGTAAGTAAGTGGAGTTCCCAGAATTGTCCAGGGGAGGAAACTCCACTTACTCAGGAAGATAACCTATTTGATAATGCATCATTTCTTCATTCTTTCCTTTGTTTTAATAACCACATTTCTCTCTCTTTCCTGGAGTCACTTTCCAAGAAAGCATTTGAAGTTGAATACTTGATTCAGTGCCTATTTCCAGGAAAACCCAATCAAAGTTGACACAAGCAGTGGTATTGGTAAACAGATCTTCAGGTGGGATTCTAGAATTAAACCTTGCACAAGCCATATGCCAACAAAAACTTCCTTAGTAACTGGATGTACCAGTCATAACTGGAGCCAGGATAACACCTCAGATACATTACAATCACTAAGATTTCCATCTATGGTGTTCTGAACTGAATGTAGATTGAAGGGGATGCACATAGCTTCTGAGAGATATGGGGACCATAGTATTCATAAAGCTAAGAGCTGGTTGTTAAATTTCCCTAAAGAAAATGACAGCCTGAGTTCAGTGAACTATGAATGAAGAGCAAAGTAAGAAACCCACAATACTTCAATATCAGCTAATAAAGAGATTCTCATTTCAGCTGTGGGAAGGTAAACATGAGCTAGAAATTAGGCTCAGCATTGGCTTTTTAGAATTGGAATTATAAAAGAGGCTATATTCATAGGCTTGGCAGATTTCTATGCAAAAGTCAGGGTTATGGGGCTGGGTATATATCTCAGTTGGTAGAGTGCTTGCCTTGCATGCACAAAGCTCTGGGTTCAATCCCCAGTAACACACACACACACACACACACACACACACACACAGCAGTGATGATATAAGCAGTTTGGGGGACACTGAAAAAATATTTAGGGTACAATTAAGCAAAGAATGGAACCCTAAGACTAATTCAATAGATATACTGGAAAACACTGAATTTCTGGATTCCCCTATCCTCTCTAAGATAGGCAGACCTAATTAGTCCCCTTACTTATAGGAAAAAGCATAAAGTGTGAATCTCATTGTGTTACATCAATATTTGCTAGAGGGCACTCATCATAGAGGAGGTACTGAATAATTGTGTAGATAAGATGATTTGTACACTAGAGGTCAACCAGCTCTGTATGTGGTAACTGGGGTACTTGAAAAATTGGCCCCAGAATGGAGAAAAAATATTAATAGTAAGAGAGGATAGGCATGGACTCATTTTCACCTATTTTGTTATAGCTACTGCCACTGGTAAAGTGACCAACCCAATGGGAATAGTCAAATTCCATGTTCTGAATATGACTCTTCTCAAATAATACAATCAGCAAATTCAGGGAAAGATTATTACATCACTTGTTACTTCCCCAGAGTAGGGGAAAAATTAATTTTTCTTGTTGGCACATATTCCTACAATGGGATTCTTGCATTTTCATAGTGGCTCCTCTAATATCACTATTCCTTGGATTCATATACTACTTGATTTATAATCATGGTGTCTTTTATAACATCTTCTAAAATGAATCAAACCATTTTATGGTAAAGGAAGTTCAATAATAGATGACAAAACAATCCAAAGCCTAACATATGTATGTCACTAGAAATTGCTAGCCTGGTAAAACAGGTTCCATCTTGGAGATGACAATTCAATTTGTGATGCTGTCTTTCTAGAAGTGACGTAATTTTTAATTGTGGTTCTATGAACCATGATGTTATATGCTATACCAGCTTGGAACATCCCATGAAAATGATGGCTAAATTTTCAGAAATTTTTAAGGCCAGTTGACCTCACAGTGGTAGCTTGAAATTGGCCATTGTGTATTTACACATCATGAAAACTGACAAAGGGTATAAACTATATTTCCCCTTTTCCATAGTTTTGCCTCCCAAAAATCAAATGCATATGTATGAAAACCATGGCAGGGAATAGGACTATCCCCTGTCACTATAACTCAAAGAGATCCTTTGAGAAATTAATTCTTTCTGTCCCTCCAACTTTGCTGAAATATGTGTTCTCCTTTTCAATTGTATGTATGGGCGTGGGACATGGGCTTTTGCCAGGGTCAGTAATGATTTCACCATATAAAAATCTACAGTTACCATATGGATGTTGTAGGCTTCTCATGGCATTGTACCAACATGAAACAAACACCCCAAACAACCAAACAAAAAATGGTGATTATCATGGGAGTTGTTACTATATACTATGTGCAGGAAGGACCATGAATGAAACTCAGTGAATGAGTTCAATTTCTATTTGAATGGTAATAACTAAAAATGGAAAATTGCAGAAACTACTGATTGGGCACAGAAATCATGAATTCATAGGTCTCTGGGGTGGGGTGGGGGGACAAAACATGTGAGCCATGCCACCAAGGAAGCTACAAGTAAAAAGAGTTGAATAAGGTTACAGGAAAATGATTGGAGAAACGATGAAGTAAATTATGACCTTGGTTCAGAGTATGCCACCCTGGTATACTGTGCTGGTCTGTTTTTTTAAAATTGTAACCAGTCTACACCTTTAAGAATCACTGACTGGACAAAGTGGACACTGGCCATCTCCTAGCTTCTAGCATAGGCAGTCTTTGGTTTCAGCATGGCCTCTTGTGGCCAGAATCTGTCCTCCCCGTCATATGGAAGGCTGCTGCCTAACACCACAGCTCCTTGGGATTTTGATAGGATGACACTAAAGTGAACAAACTCTTGGTTTTCCTGAATTTCTAAGGGGAATTTAGTTTCCTAAAATTAAATTTACATTCTTTAATTGGCTTTCTCCCTTCACTGGCCTAACTCCCAACTCTCTTAATTAGTAGTTCTTTCTGTGACTTTCTCCCAAATAAACTAGTAATACTTAAGTCCATGACTGAGGCTCAGATCTGGAAACAGTAGTCATATTTCATATCTATTAGTGTTACATAAATTTCAGTAAATATGTCAAGCTGCCCTATATAAGATATTTAAGCCTTTGTCTTTTGTTATGACAAAGATAATCTTTTCTTAACATTCAAGGCAATGCCTTCATGATTAATATGTTTATATGCAAATAAAGCTAAATAAGTATCTTTTCTGATCACCTTATTTGAGAGGTCAATTATTACATTTTACTTGTTTGCATTTTGTTGAAATAAGTAATCTGTAAAATCAGACTGAGATGAATCAGAGGTCTTATGCAGCATCAAGCTTTACTAAGTAACATCAAGGCCACGTGAAAACCAAAGGATGTCATGAAGCGGGCATGAGAGTTCTGGATATGGATGATGACTATATCCCCAGCCTTTTATTTCCTGTGTCAGATGTATATCTCTCTGCCTACATGAATTCTCGAAGAGAATTTCCCAGGGTTCCTTGTGAAATTATTTAAATAGCAACATATCTCCAATTTATTCCCCAGAAAATTATGGCACCTGTGGACATTTCAGGGAATTGTGCACCATAAATATTGGGTTCTACTAACTCTTGCTGCCCTTGGCCAGGAGTATCCCATTAAAAGCATTTTAGGGATTAAATTCTCTTCCTCTTAGTGTAGCCTTCATTTAGTTATGTGGAGCTTCAGTTGACAAGGGATTATACCAGGTCTCCTGCCTCCCACCACCTCCAGTGGCACCCTTCCAGGAAGGAGAGAAAATAAATTGCTTCTTTATCCTGTTCCTCCCAAATGATTTCAGAGGCAGATCCATTCTCATATGTTCAAAAAAAATAGCCTCACCAGAGATTCCTCCTCCTATATCCATCTCTAAGACTACAAACATGAACTATCCAAAAGAAAATGGCTAAGAATTATTTTGCTTAAATTCAATGAATTAAAATAAGGTGTAATAACATCCTGTTTTTTTAATTTCATCTGCTTCAGAGTTCAATAATTTCTAGTGATGAAGGTCTAAAATGGTTCTGGGCACATTTATTTGTCTATTTGTTCTTGAGTTATAAAGAAAAAAACGTATTTTAAAACTATAAACTATAATGCATTATGGTTATTTGTCCAGGATGAAAATGAGCATTATAATGAATGGAAAATCACCCCCTAATCATACTGCCAAGACATTACTTCCCAGGAGTCCCAAAGGCATTGAGGAGTGAGGGGATACTCATTACCTATCCAAGCACTGCTGAGTGAAGAATATGAGGAATGCTTTTCATTCATATTCATTATTTCAGTTATCATATCAGAGATAAACCCTTAGAAACTCAGAAAGAATCCTGGTATGGAAGTATAAAAGAATCAGTAAAAATGGTAGGATAGTGCAGTAAGATAATCTTTGAACAGTATCACATACCTCAGCCTGTCTAAGATAAAAATATGACATATCCAAAGTCAAAGGGAAATAGAAAATGCAGATATAATTCAGGAAAGTGTGGTCATCTTATACTTACTGAAGCTACATTCACAAAATCATCATCTGAGAGAGTTTCCAACATTTCGGAGACAGACGTTCGGATTAGTTTAAGAGTCAATCCACTGACACTTCCACTCCTGGAGACAGACAAGTGAGTCTGCATGAGTTACTCATCAGTTATTTCATCAACAGCATCATAAGGAAAGACAACTTATGCATTAAACCTGGATCATTTATATAATATTCAAATAAGAAATGTCTCTAAAAAATCTGTAGAAGAGATTTTTTGATAGAATGAAAATGAGAAACCTTGTTTCATCTTCTACCAATATCAATACATATGTCTAAATGAAACTGCCAAAATTATCTGCAAGAGACAATTTATAAAATACATGGATACTCAAGGCCTATTTGCTCATTCAAGGCATATGTATCAAATACTAGCCCTGAGAGCCAATTTAGCAGAGAGAGCTACAGAGGTTATAGACACAGTCACTGTCCTGGAAGCCCATTGTTTGACTTTATTGAGCCAATAATTATAAAGCCACAAAACCACTGTATAGATTTGTGGAGAGAATGCCTTGTTTGTCACTCTAAAGTAGATATCCTCTACAACTTAATCTTCATTTTTCTTGTCTCTGTCTCTATATTTTCCATGATCCTCTGTGACCTCCCTTATTTTCAGGGATCAACTTTAAGTGACTAACTCTTACTTCAACATCACGGACACTCATCAGTATCTTAGCTTGAAATAATGTAACAAATAAATAAAATGAACAGTATATAAACTCTTGGAAATTTTCTTATATATCATCATGTCCCTTGAAAAAGTCACAGTACTAACATTTAATAAAATAGTTAACATTCATCTATTCATCTATTTTATGACCAGATTTCTAAAACTTAACTCACTTTTCTTCTTCTTTTTTTTTTTTTTTTTGGTGGTACTGGAATAGAACTCAGGACTCAGGGCCACCTTCCCAGGCCCCCTAAAATTTAATTGAGTCATTAATGACTCAAGTGTTAAATGAATCTTTTTTTTTTTTTGGTAGGAAGAACTGCTTAGTTTCAGCAATTCTGTACTTAAATATTGCTCAAAATATAAATCAATAATTAGAAACAAATAAGTAATTTTTTTTAAAAAAATGCAGACTTTAGAGCCATGCCATAATTTCCCACTTTCTGCAAATAAACATGAAAGTCTTCTCATTTTCAATAAATTAATCTTTGCTGATTTTTTTATTGTGGCTTCTTTTTTTTTTTTTTTCTTCAAACTGTCATATAGTTCCAACATATTCCTCTTACCTACAAATTCTCTCAAATGCTCAGCATAAAAATATGTAATAATTAAATACTCACACATCAACCAGAATAAGCATGTCCTTAGGAGATGCAGCTCCTTGGATATACCTGAAACAAATGGCACATAATTTTTTTCCTCTCTGCAACATAACAAGCGTAGATATTAATTGTCTTGATTTTAACAAATCTCTGATATTGGCATTTTCCAAGCAAAGACCTAATTCCATACAATCTCAGTAGACAATGGCCTTTTTTCACATTCTACAATGGCAGCTTGAAAAGGTTACGGTTAACCTGACATTAGAGATGCCAAAGGCATGATAATTAAAGCATATTTTCCAGATATTTATAACAAAAGAACAAGAGACAGATTTTTAATACTAACAGTGAATGAAATCACCTCCCAGAAGGACATTTTCTACAGGAAAAAGCAGCCATTTTGAGCTGCAATTGTTGACCACATGTTTTTAAACCACTCCAATGAACAACAGATTATCCTATTTTTAAATATAAAAAGTAAAAAAAAAAAAAAGATCGGTGGTCTAGAAACTTAAAAAATATATATATTTTTAAACAGGTCAATAAGGTAACTAAGAAATCACACAGTAGGTAATGTTAGCACCAAGAATTTCAAGTAGGCTCACAAAAACTTTACAGTATTCAAAAATCATTCCAAGAATCAGCTTAAAATGTTGATTCCCAATTTAAACACAGCCTTAGAGAATCAGAATCTGCATTTTAAAGAGACTCTAGGAGAGTTTTGCACAGATGGTTCATTGATTGTAGAGAGATTTCAAAAACCTTGAAAGCTCCTGCTGCCAGGCTACAATAGGAATTTGACTTTCTAGTCATTTCTGTGGTCTCTCTGCCCATGACTAGAAATCTAGCTTCTCATAAGCCTGCAGGTTACTTTCCCATTACTTTTCACAAAACTTGCAGCACAGTTGCCACCTATTCATGTCTGTGTTGATGAAGCAGTCAGTTTATAATCTGCTTCCATGCTTGCTTCCCTATAAGAAGGTAAAATGGCAGTTGTAGGTGTGTGTTGCCATGGAAGCCCAATCTAGTTCATGCCTAGTGCCTTTTTTTAAATTTATTTATTTATTTATTTTTGGCTTGGTTTGGTTTTTGTTTGTATTTATTTATTTATTTTTAATTGATGCATTATCATCTGACATAAGGTGATGCATGCAGAACATCAGTCTTAATGCCTCGCATCTTAACACCACTGGTCCTGGTAGGCTTCTCCATGGGAAGACAACAAGAGGATACTGACTGCTTCTTATGGTTAGAATCTAGCTTCCACAAAACAATGAAGATTTCTGAACCCAAATCATGTGTTATAGTAATCTTTGCTTCCACTCAACAACATATGGCTCCAAAGAGATACACCAGAGAAATATTATCAAGAATAACACACGGATTAACATTGGTCACTATGATACATGTCTGGTATTCATGCAAATTGGTACTGGGACATTTAAAAGGGAACTTAAAAGTCTTAAATACATGTCCATTGAATCAACCATTATGCTGCTTAGAATCTGTTAGAAACATGAGCCAAATGTTTGGAATAAATTAAATATCCAATAATAGTTTATTTTTTAAATAGTTTACCATATATAATTTTAAAAATGATATCTCTTATCATGAATGTGTATTCAAAGGTAATGGTATTAAAAGGGTGAGATACAAAGCACTATGCTATATATAATATGAATGCATTAAAAAGATAGTTATATATTAACTCTTTTTTTCAAATATTGAAATAAAATAAAAAACCCAAAATTGATAGTTGTTTTCCAATGAGTCCAACTATAGATTATCAATATTTTTTTTCATCTTATATTAGGAGAATTAGTTGCTTTTGTATCGAGGGACAAATAAAACTTCCTTTTGGAAAAAAAATAAAATCTAAGTTATAGGAATATAATTAGGGACAGCTTTTACTGTAGGGCCAGTTCTCATTAGTTCATTGCCAGAGGCAAACTATCTCCTACTCCATGCCATCTCTGTTGGAGATCTATCCCAAGCAAACTGGGAACCCTTCAACAGAAATCCCCACCAGCCCAAAGAGATTTGAAGCTGAGATTGCATATAAATCTGAAGATAGTCCATTTGAAATGAAGATGATATTTCATTTCAGCAATATCTGCCTTATTTCTCCATAAACTCATCACTTGTACTTACCTTTGATTATATTTACTTTTAAGAAAACTTTACATAATTAGATAATATTCATCCTAATAATGAAAACATCTCCCCAACATTTTTAACAAAACCTGTTTTGTCTTTCTCACATTTAAGGTCAGCAAAAAATCCTTACCATGGTCTTCGGCGTACATCGTAAAGATCAATCTTATTTGGAGTTCTACTATTATCAACCCATGGGGAAGCTTTAAAAAAAAAAGGAAAAATTACAACAATATATTAGATAAGCTCTACAAAAATAGTGTAACCCCCCCCCCAAGAAAACTCCTTACGAAACTCCATAGAAAACACTACAGACATAATTTCCATTTATCTATATCAATGTTTGAATAGGAGGTATCATTTTTATGCCCTCAGTATTTTCTCTTTTATTGTAGAAAACAACACACTAGTCAATATAAGCCATTTTCTTTTCTCGCATCATTTCAAAAATAACCCTGATATAAGGGTTTTGTGCTAAACTTTATGTCTTATCAAGGGTGCTAACTTATATGTCTTATCAAGGATCCAAAGGTTTTACATTTTCCCTCACCTCTTTAAACAGAAAATTTACCTTGACAGCAAATTTATGTGCCACTAATGAATATTATGGATTCAATTGTTTTATCCTTTTATTTTTATTCAATATGATCCCATTTTGGTCTACATAAGATTTTATTAGACAGTTATCATAAAATATTTTAAAAATTAAAATAACCTTTTAATTTTCAAAATCATATAGTTGATAATGAGCCAAACTATTTTGAAATCCTAATTCAAAGGTTAGACCATAATTAAAATAATTCCATAATTTAAAAAAAATATTTCAAAGATGTACAATAATTCTAGTTTGGAATCAGTATATTTTTTAGTTCCACAGTATCTATCATTTGGCAGTAATCAGAACTTAAGCATAATTTTATTGATTTTTAAATGCAATTAGTTTATACTTATTCTAATTTATCTACACTTACTTTAATTAAAATGTTTTATAAGGTATAACTTGCACACACACCTTAGACCTACTAGAGAAAAATAAATGCTAATGTATTGGATGATACTATCATGAGGAAACAAGTCTCTCTCTTTGAAGATATTTACACATAGGACCCTTGGGAAAATTCAAGTCATATGATTGATGTGCCACAATCTATTTTACCCTTTTCTTTACTGTGTAACTATGTAAATTAAGGAGAACTTTACTGAGAGTCAGGTTTATTAGCCAATGAATATAATTTGGCCAATTAGGACATGTCTAAAATATATACAACTAAATCCCTCCTTGACTGTGAATTTTTTTTCCTATTAGTGGCTATAATATAAAATGATTTATTCATTTTAAATGACTAATCACATTTACATGAAACAGTAAGTTTAAATATAGCACTCCCCCAAGAACCAATTACTGACATAGTCAATGTAACTGATATTGTAAATTTATTCTTTCAATTTGCATTTGCAGAATCTAAGTGCCAGTGATACAAAATATCTTTTACTTTTGCAGCTCTATAATTGAGCAACAGGCATGTTGGTAGACACCTCAGTTCACTTTCAACTATTCATCTATAATATTGACTCCCAAAGTTAATATCTTAGTACTAACTAAAAATTTAAAGAAATTGTAACCTAATTTCAGTAGCATATTATGCCTTGTATACATTCATTGCCTCTTAACTCTAAATGTTACCCTTTGGGCTTGTTCTATGAAAAATGGATCTGGGTTCTTTGTACACTTATCTTTTACCAGCTGGCATATCTTCAAGCTTTGTACATAGATGATGATGCAAACTCTGAATGAGGCAAGGGTCTTTTCTTGATGTTTTTGGCTCATAAGCTCACAGGCAGGTGTAGCATGCACTGCTTTTCTGCTGTCTCTGGCTGTGCAAACCTGTTTTCTAGAGCTCATCTCCTGATGTGCTGCAGTTCCCCCATATTCCTACACCTTGGGGAGCTTCACCAGGCACCTGAAGGCCATCAGTAGTCCCTAACCATTTTTTTTTTTTTTTATAATTGCTAAATTAAATGAACTGATAGGGAAGTACTACACTTCATAAAACTTATCTTTCTTTAAAGACAAAAAAACATTAAAATGTTATAATCTTAGGTGGCTACATTTAAAAATATTAATAATATTACATAAGCTTTCTGAGATCTTGTGTTAAGTCATATCCTGATATTAGACTAAATTAAGATATTTATAAATCATGGTAAAATTAAACAATATAATTTCTTCTGTGATTGACATGTAAAATCTCCTTGTGGAATTTAAGGAGCACATTTTTTATATAAGCTTAACTTTATAGAATATCAAATAGTAAAAGAAATAATAACCATATACCATAATTCCCTGAAATAATCGGTTTCATAATCAGACATAGTGACAGTACATGTCATGAAATCAGTTTCTCAAATCCCTGCAAAATGTGTATTGCCCATTTTAGATGTCCTGTTAGTGTTCCAGAAAGTTTTTTTGGAATGCAGAACAGAGGAACAGAAATAGCCTACAATGTGGTATCTCATTACTGACCACCATCATTAAAGGCAATGATGTTCACTTATAAGAACACTTTTCCTCTGAACAAAAATAAATTGTGGATGTGTCTCTTACCAGTTCTACTGGTATACTATTTCACATGCTATCAAGCATGCACTGTAGCAGCTATTGATCTGACTTAAGCAGATGTTTACCTATACATTGACTCAGAATACTGAAACATGACAGAGGTATATTCTTGAGAAGGTATGAAAATCTTAGAGTCATTTTACACTTAATATAATCTAAAGAAAATAGGAAACTGTCCAGTTTTCATTGTAGTGACTGGGAAAAAATTAAACAAATGATGGTGCATTGAGGATTGATGCTCTTGGTAGAAATACCACTTCACAAAACAGATAATTGCATTTCCAATTATTAAGTTCAAATGTAGTTTCTACTTGAACAATCTTCACATCTGCAATCTCATGAAAATAAAAAGTAGCATGTTTAATATACTTGAAAATGCCTTTTAAAATCACTCCTGATCCTTTTGCCCAGAACTAATTGGTAGACCATTATTTTAGTCTTGTCTCAGTCATCTCCTATATTAGTCACGCTCTGGATTGCTAGCCAAGATAATCAACTAGGACTCTTTATAAAGCAAAAATTAATTCACCAAATGTGTATTGTATAGCTTACAAATTTCCAGAAATCTGAGTATTACTATCTAATAACTCCCATTTGAGAATAGATTCTACACAGTCCCTAATTTGTACCATGGCTTCCACATCCAGGTTCAGTATGGATGAGTAGTATGGATGAGTCTCGTAAGTATGAACTAGTACCCCATACCAACACACCACAGAAACTAGAAAAGCAAATAGCTGACCTATTTATATTTTGAGTTATCATGGAAATACTGAAAACAGAAAGATGATTATATATTATTAGTATTGGTGATGTGCCGCAGTCTGGCTGGGCACAAATGCCGCAGTCTGGCTGGGCACACAATCACGAGCCACCACACAGCTTGTAGATTCAAACAGCAACTCTTTATTCCCGAACTCACACCAGCCGTCTACAATCACGTTCTGGGGAAATCCACGTTCTCTTCCCAAATCCACGTTCTCTTCCCAAATCCACCTCCACTGGGCTTCTATCTCCAAAATATATTGTCTGAATCCCGTGAGAACTCAAGGGGAACTCAGGCAGCAGGATACGCCCTATTCCCAGCAGGAATAATCTTAAACCTTAAACCTGGAACCTAAACTGGGAACGCCCTAAACACGATTATCTTAAAACAGGGAACACCCTAATCTGTCTTGGTCCTTGAGCAAGGTCACGTACATTCAATGTCACTGCAACATGGGGTACGCTGGCAAGGAAATTGTCATACCTACTTGGCTAATGGCTCCCAGCAGTGATGTAACATGCCTTAAAGTATAAATCTCAAATATTGTTAGCATAGTAATTAGCACAGTAAGTATTCTCAGCATAGTACTGTTCTTAGCATAGTGTCTTAGCATAGGAATTTTCATTCATATAACAGACCAAGATATTACTAGTCATGGGAGACACAGATTCTGCTCCAGGTAGTTACACAGAGGTCTAAAGCTAGAAGAGCTTTTGCCTTTGACCACTGTCTTCCGAGGTCACCCAAGCTCCTAAAGGATGGTAACTATGGAGAAGATACAGGCAAGTCATGATAATCTCACTTTCTCCATATTCTGTTGGAAAGAATTAGCCACATGGTCCTATACAGACACAAGGGAGGTCTAAGAAATGAAGTCCCTGGCTAGTCAGTCACTTCCAAAAGGAGATTTCACAATGATGGAGGAGGACAAAACTCTATGGGAAGCTTTTGCCACAAGTAAAGATAGACACTTTTAAAATCAGTACTGTCTACTACTAATGATAATATCAAATTTTCTGTACTTAGCCAATGTTTTTCAAATAAACCAGCCCTAAGATGAAGGAGAAGGGAATGGACTGAATTCGGAACCTAGTAAATAAATAAAAGATGTCAGATTGAAAAGTCATTTCTGACTAAATTTAGCAGTAGGACTGCTTACATAAGAAATTCACTGAAAGAAAATAACTAGAAACCAACGCAGCATTGTTGTTGATGTTTGAATTACTAAACAAACTACAAGCCTGGTCTGCAGAAGCACTGTAATTATTTGAGCCCTAAAGCAACTCTTGGGCTCCAAAGTTGCACCAGAAAACAGCAAGGTAAGAAAGCTGTCTAGCCCCAAGCACAGCCCATTCACATGTGTCCAACAGTATTTTAGACAGGTGAGTGATTCCCACAGAGCACTCAGAAACAATCAGAGGAGCTGAGAAACTTGCTTTATGCAAGTTAGGAGGGCTTTGGGTTTCTTTCTTGATTGAATGGGTAGGGAAAATAATGGATCAGGGATGGCTCTGTTTTTCTTGCTCTTTTTCCAAGTGGGAGTTTTACTATTATAAGTAGCAAAAGCAACAATTGTGTATCATACCCGTGGGCAAGCAACTGGACTTAATAGGGTTGACAAAATAGTATTCTGCTGAATTATAATGTAGTCAAATTAAAAAAAAAAGTCATACTAAATGATGGAGAAAATTGCATGTGACCCAGAGATCCTGGACTCTAACTAGTTAGTTGGAACTTTGGGCCATCTGTGGAAGGAGGCAAGTGTTCAACATGTGGGGGGAAAAGTATGAAATGATATTTGAATTGTCAGAGGCACA